CCTGGGTTCTTGATTCTACTGTGTCGGTCAAGTGTCTGTCATTGTACCAGTACCATGTTCTTTTGGTTACTACGATTGTGTTACTATGGTTTTGACATCAGAGAGTGCTATGCCACCCACTTCATTTTTATTTTTCAGAAGAGCTTTGTTTATTGCGGGTCTCTCTCCTTTCCAAATAAACCTGCCAAATGTCTTTTCTATCTCTTGAAAAATGAGTTTGGTGTCTGTGTCAGGATTATGTTGAAAATGTAGATTGCTTTTCATAGGATTGTCACTTTCACAACTTTGAGTTTTCCTATCTGTGAATAGGTTCCACATCTCACACTATCCACAAAAATCAACTCTGTGTTCAAAGAATAAGAAAAGTTCTGGAAGGATAAAAGAAACTATTTCCTACTGGTAAGAAGCTGCTCTGCAATCCAGATGTGAGTAGTTCAAATCCATCTGAAGCTATGCTGGAGAAGGAGAGGCAATCTCCTGTACCAGTCAGATCCAATTTGACATACACACACAAAAAATAATAAATTTTTTTTAAAAGAAACTATTTTTTAAAAAATGATACAAAAAAACCCCCTGCCTCTTACTTGGAAATTTCCTTTACCACGATTCTTAACACATTTTCAGTACACAAAAAAAAATTTAAAAAAAAATATGAAGGCAAATTTCAAAATGGACCAGTACTCAATCACACTGTTGTGTTCTGTGCTGAGTCAAAACTGAATCACAGCTGATCCTGCATCAAGTTTTCAAGGGCTGTAAATCACACGGGAGGAAAATGTCCATCCTTCTCTCTTGGAGCAGCTGACAGATCTGCCTGTTTTTGTATTGGCAGTAAAATTCCTTACCCACGAGCCCATCAGAACTCCCTAAATTATACTGTAGTTCTAGAAAACTTATGGTGCTGAAGGCAACAAAAGATAAGATTTCACACAATCAAAATACATCTATGGCTCTATTTTATTAAAATTCATGTTTTGTTAGAAGACATAAATGCCCTGACCAACAATAATATGAATCACAAGTATTTCTCCAGTTGTGATAAAGTCTTTTGCACACACAAATTTTATAGCTTTTCATATGAGTCTTATGTGTGTGGAGGGAGCAGGAGGAGAACACAGTTTAATGCCAATGATTTCAAATGGAAAAACCACAAGCAATATGATTTCCATTACAAGCTGGCTTCATAGCTGACAATTCTTTTTGGAAATCATGATGTCAAATGGAACAGCCAACATCACGATTCCTGTTCCATATTTTTATTATGATTCCCTGAATCAATCTATGTCAGAACATGGAAAACAGATTGATTTTTTTCAGGCTATTTTTCCAAAGTGCTTTACCAAATCATGTAAAATTACAATATATTTTTTTTAAAGCTTCCGTGAAATGTCACATTATTTCTTTGAAGAGTTATTATGTTTTCACAAATGTATATGCACATATGCATGCTATTGTTATTAGTTAGCCATCGAGTCAAGTAGGACTCATAGTGATGCTATGAACGATAATGAATCCTTCCCTATCCCGTGCCATCCTTATCATCTCTGACATACTTGAACCTACTGCTTAGTCACTGGGTCAATCCATCTTGTTGTGGGTTTTCCTCTCTCTTGCTGACTCATTACCTTTATGTATTCACATTATGTTCCTTTCCAACGAACGGGCCCTCCAAACAACATGCTAAATGTGTGTGAGATGAAGCTTTACCTTCATCTTTACCTCCAAGAAGCACTCTGGCTTCACTTTCACAAAGACTTATCTCTTTGTTCTTTCACTAGTCCATGGGATATTTAGTACACTTCTCTGATACAACTCAAAAGGCATCAATTCCTATTCCATCAACCTTACTCATTCTCCAGCTCTCAGCAGTGTAGCAAGTGAATGAAAAGACCAAGGCTTGAATCAGGAGCACCTTATCTTTAACATCACTGTTCGTTGGTACTTTGAAGAGGTCCCTATCAGCAGACTTTCCCAGTGCAATACACCTTCTGATACCAAAGGTGTTTATTGTGGGCCCAGTGATGAGGACTTCTGTATTTTTGACATTAAGAGCAATTCATATTGAAGGGTGTAGTCTTAGAACTTCTGCAACAAGTGCTTCAAGTCCTCTTCACTTTCAGCAAGCAAGGATGTGTCATCTGCATAACATACTGATGAGTCTTCCTCCAAGCCTGTTAGCACATTCTTCTTCTTAGACTCTAGTTTCTTGAATGAATTGCTCAGCATACATACTGAACAGGTATGGAGAGGACTCAGCCCTAATACTCCTTTCTCGATTTTAAACCATGCAGCGTTTTCTTCCTCTGTTCAGATAATAGGTTCCTGGTCTCTGCATAGGTTGTATAAGAGCATAATTAAGTGTTCGAGGATCCCTGTCCTTTTTTAACTTTAGCAAACTACTGAAATTTGAGAAGATTACAAAAATTTAGCAAATGTTCTTTGAAGGGGTTGTTATTATCCACCACCAAATGAATTATGTCTAATAGCTACACTATGCACAACAGAATGAAACTGCAAAAAAAAAAAGAAAAAAAAAAAGAATGAAACTGCCAGGTCTTACACTATCTTGCTATTTTGAACTCAGTGGAATAGTTGCTGTGTCAATTCATCTTCTTGAAGGTCTTCCTCTTTTTCTCCAATCTTCTTATTTATTTATTTTCTTATTTATTATTTTCCAAGAACTGATCTCTTCTGATAATAAGTTCAAATTATGGAAGGAGGTCTCAACATCTTCTCTTCTAAGCAATGATTATACTTTTCTTACAAGAAAAATTCATTTCGGAGCCCTGGTCACTTAGTAGTAAGGGACAGCACTGCCAGTGCAAAGGTATGTCGTTCAAATCCACTAACTACTCCATGGAAGACAGATGGATCATCTCCTCCCTGAGATTTACTGACTCGTAGAACCTGCTGAGGGGGTCAGCTATGGGTTGGGTCCAACTTGATGGTACACAACAACAATGTCATTAATGCTAAAATTTAAAAATAAAATCTGTGGGGGGGGGAAGGAACATGGGAATTGTATACTAATGAAAGAATTTTTTTCCTTTTTTTTTCTCTCTCTTCGGAGGGGGAAGAGAGCTGGTGGGGAGGGGTGGGCAGGGAGAAAATTGCGGCAATGAATGAATGGAAATCCAATACCTCTGTAAAAAAAAAAAATTTAAAAAAAAAGAAAAATTAAATTCTTCTTCTAGAAGTTCATTAAATACTGTATTTTCTTAGCTAATACCCTGATTCAAAGGCATCAAATCTTCTGTCTTCCTTATTCATTGCCCAGTTTTCTGTGCATATGAAAAGACTGAAAATAACCAGCCTCAGTCAGGCACACCTTAAGAGTTGTATCTTTGCTTCTTAACACCTTAAAGAGGTCTTTTGTAACAAAGTTGCCTGGTGGAATTTGGCTAGTATTCCAACACTTTACCTACTCTGCTGCCAGGACTCTCTGGTAAAATCTAAGTGTAGAAAACTGTCAATTCCAATCAAACCTAACATGTATGAACAAACACAAACCAATCTCATTACTGTGGGGCCAGTTCCTATTCACAATGGCCCTGTTTCGAGTTTCTGAGGCTGTAAATGCTTTTTTTTGCACCCACAACTGTATATTTACCTGTTTATTATTATTATTTGTTTGGGATTTTTATTATTATTCATTTTAATGAAATTTTTTAAAAAAATTATCATTTGCTTTTCTTAGTGCTATTTTTAGGAGCTTTAATTGTGTATCTATGTAAAATCCTTGACAATTTCAATCTTGCCTCTATATATCAAGATGTTGTTCACTGGTCCAGTTATGATTTCCTTTATGCTAAAGGCTGCACTCTTTGACTTTCTTACGTGTTTCAAGGCCCTCTTTACATTCAACCAGCAAGATTATGTCATCAGCATGTTGTATATTGCTAACGAGTCTTCCTCAAATCCTGGTATCCCATTCATCTTCTTATAATTTAGCTTCTCAAATTAAGTAAGTTTCATGAGATGATACAATCCTGACATCCATTTCCTGGTTTTAAACATTGCCATTATCTCCTTGTTCAGATTGAAAAATTGCCTCCTGGGTTTACACAGAGGTTCTGTATATAATCTGTATACAGTACAATCAAGTATTGTGGAATTCCCACTCTTTGCAATATTAGTAATAGTTTGTTACACTTCACACAACTAGATACCTTTTCATAGGTAAACACAAGTAAACTTTCAATATGACCCATCAGACATCATATCATATTCTTCACTCCACGTATTTTACTGAACCCATCTTGAACCTTTAGCAGTTCCTTGTCTACATTCTGCCTGCTGTAACTATTTTTAATTTTTCTTTTTAAGTAACTCCCACATGTTGTTGGGTCTCTTTTCTTTTCAATAGGAACTTTCAGTTGGCCAGGCAGCTAGTTGTCTTCTAAATTACTTGGCAAATCTAAGTTTTTCTAGCATCTGCCTGCTAAAACCTCCTCAATGGTATGTCATCAATTCCTGGAAGTAATTTTGCAACAATGCTTTCTTTGCAGCTTGAACTTCTTCTTTCAACACTATCAGTTCTTGGTCATATGTTACTCCTGATATAGCTGGACAAGCAGTAATGGATTTTGGTACAGAGAGTCCGTGTATTCCTTCCATCTTCTCTGGATGCTTCTGGGGTCATTCAACTTTTGCCCGTGTTGCTGTGAAGTGCCACTGAGTCTGTTCCAACTCAAGTAACCTTATGTACAACAGGATGATAGACTGCCTAGTCCTGCTCTATCCTCATAATTATTTTCTATTTTTGACCCCATTTTTCCAGTCACAGTTTACCCATAGAATATTTTAATATTGCAACTCAAGACTTGGACACCCACCCCCCCCACCCCCGCCCTTTCTGTTTCTTCAGCTTGAGAAATGCCTACTATGTCCTTCGGTTTTAGTTTTCTAACTTCTATTTTATTTAATTATTACATTCAAACTAAAATTAAGAAAATCATATGGTATAAATGAAAAGAAATAATACTTGCATTAACATTTACCTGTTGCATCAAATTCAATTGGTTGGCACCGCCGGTTAGAAGACCAGTCACATTTGAGGACTTGCCCTCCTTCCACAATCCCAGGCTGTGTAGTGTTGGCTTTGGGAGCTCCCACCAGGAGAAACATCCTACTAAAATAAAAAAGAAGAGGTAATATTTTAAATAGCATAAACTATACTGAATGACTTATTAGGAACAATTATGCTCATAATATCACCCACAAATATTATCTTTTATTGAACCAATAGCAGAGTTTTTATTAGATTAATTACATTCTCCTCTATATGTTATCTGACATAGTCTAGTAATCCAAGATTGCGTTACTGTTGTTGTTATGTCCCACCAAGTCACTTGCAGCTCTGAAGCCTGCACCATCTTCAGCCAATCTCATTGTTTCTGACACACTTACTCCCATTACCCCAGTCACTGAATCATCTATCTCATCAAGGGGCTTCCTCTCCTACGCTGTCCCTCCACCCTCCCAAGTATGACGTTCTTCTCCAAAGTATGTCAAACAAAGCTTCAGAATCCTTTCCTATAAGGAGCAGCCTGGTTTCATCCTCTCTAGGATGAACGTGTTTGCTCTGTAGTTTCTGAACTACAGTCCAAGTCTATAGTAATTCAGTAGATGGTAACTTCAGAAGTGCAAGCTGGTCAAATTGTATATAAACATATGACATTTGTTACATGTTGATTACTACTACTACTTTCTCTGCGATTTATTGCTGTTGAGGCAGAACTGAATCAAAGGTGACCCTCCACAGGGTTTTCCGAGGCTGTAAATCACAGGATTTTGGATTTGTTTATCTTTCTACTAAAGAATGGCTCTGAGATTCAACCATCAGAGAGGCATCACCTTCGGATTAGTCAATCCAAAAGTCTATAAAACTGCACCGCCAGAATGACTCTTGTACCTCAATAAAACTATTTAAAAATGTACTGTGGCTAAAAACAGGAAATTCTGTCATGCTGTTGGTTTTTGTTGTTATTGTTTTTTGCATACATACAAAAGAGAGCTCTTGTGGCCTGGTGGTAAGAAGCTGTGCTGCACTCCCAAAGGTATGCAGTTTGAGGCCACCAGCTGCTCCACTGGAGAAGGATGGGCAACCTCCTCCCCTGTGATTAACTGCTTCTTAAAACCTGCTGGATGGTCAACTATGGGTTGGTTCTGACTCTACAGTACACAACAACAACATCATCATACACTGTTGTTGTTGTTATGTGCCATGAGTTGCTTGCGACTCATAGCGACCCGATGTACAACAGCCCTAAACCCTGTTCTATTCTGTGCCAATTGCACTGCCTCTGACACACCCATCCCGATTACCCCAGTCACTCAATCAATCCACCTCATAGAGGGTCTTCCCCTCCTCCACCCTACCAAGAGGTCCTCTCTCCAAGGACCTGTCCCTCCTTACAACATGTCCAAAGTATGTCAGACAAAGACTCAGAATCCTTGCCTCTAAGGAGTAGCCTGGTTTAACCCTCTCCAGGATGAATCTGTTTGTTTTCTTGGCAGTCCAGGGTACATTCAATACTCTTCTCCAGCACCACCGTTCAAAGGCATCAATTCTCCTTCTAGCCTCCTTAGTCATTGTCCAACTCTCTGATGCATAACAAGTGATTTGAAGCCTGTATCAGACGAACTTTAGTGTCCAGAGTGACACCATTGCTCTTCAGTACCCTGGAGAGGTCCCTAACAGCAGTATGGATTGAAGCTCAATGTCAAAAAGACAAAGATTCTCACCACTGGACCAACTGGCAGCATCAGGATGGATGGTGAAGAGACTGAGATTGTTAACAACTTTAGTCTGCTTGGCTCCACAGTCAACACTCTTGGCACCAGCAGCCAGGAAATCAAAAAACATATTGTGATAGGAAAGTCATTAGACATACAAAGTAGTTAAAGATGTCAAGGACAAAAGATCACTTCTCTAAATAATCAGGTTCGCTGCAGGAAACAGAATGGGAGAGCAGAAAATAAGAACTAAAGGGACAACTCATCACAAGAAATTGATGTAGTCTCCTAAAACCGTAAACACAGATAAGAATAAAGGAGAAAACTACATAAAACAAGGTAGGGTTTAGGGACTCGTTCTCCTCGCTTTAATAAAGGAATTTAAAGTACAACCAGAGAAGGAGAAATGAAGAAGTGATGCATGTAGACAGAAACAATAAAAAACAAACAAGCAGGCTGAAGATGAAGAGTGGCATACGTTAGAAATAACTCATAAATGACAAGAATTTTTCCCCTAGTTTGTATACTCTGGATTATCCAAAGCACTAGAAAATAGAGGCAATGAACGTATTTACCACCCATTTCCTATATGCTGAGGGAGAAAAAGCAAATAACTATATATTAAAATGTGGTCACTCTAGACATTATCATTTTCCCACCAAGGATCCTGCTTGAGAACAAGCACTAGCTATTTACTTAATAATGAGTAAAAAATTTATCTTAGAAGATTTATCAATTCCTGGTCTTATAAAATAAACAAAGGTTCAAAAACTAGAGGTCCTTTTTTTTTTTAAAGTTTATAGATACCTTTTCTTTGGCAGTTTCTATTCCTAAAGGGGCTGAAGGGAGATAGAGATGGAGTGTCTCATGTACATAGAACAGACACACTAAAAAAACCCCAAAACAAACAAACAAACAAACAACAAAAAATCACCACCAGAAACCACAAAGGAACCACCTCAAGCTCACCGCCAAGGAGTAGGAGCTGACTCAGGGCTAACCTTCCAGTGGGTTCCTGAAGCTGTAAATCACACAGAAGGAGACTGCCCATCTTTCCTTAATTTAGCCTCTGGTATATTCGAACTGTCAGAAAGGCAAGGCCACTTGGGAAGGCAGCTTAACTCCTTGCAGTCTAAAATTTTGGGCACTAAAAATACCAGCATGAGTCAAGGAACTTTGGTCTCTGCTCTCCATAGTTTTCATTCTGAAGTTGGAAGTGAGGAGAAAAAAAGAAAATTACTGTTAGTAACCTTAAGAAAATAAACAAGGGTTGAGAAAGCTATTATTCAGGAATGAGGCAGAGAAATCTCTAGATAAAGGAGTTATCTCTAGGAATGGAGAGCCTTCCTTTAGATAAGGGAAGTCTTTCTTAGGAAGCTATCTTTAAGAAATAGGGAAGAGAGACTTTTTTATGGTAAAGGAATATGGGAACTTATTTCAAAGGAATTCATTAATAATAGGCTAAAATAAGATTATAAAGAACATACCATAAACTGCCAGAAAAAGGAACAGATCGTTCCAGAAGTGTAGCCAGAATGTTCCTTAGAAGGAACTCCTCTTACATATTTTAGACAAGTAACCAAAAAGGACTAGTCCACAGAAAACATCATGTTTAGTATAGCAGAGTCATAAAAAAGAGTTAGATCTTAATGAGAAGGAAGACCACTGGCTGCAACAATGGACTTAAACACAGCAACAATTGTGACAATGGTACAGGATTGAGGAGGATTTTAGACTGGACAATAGTAAAAAAGTGGGGGGACAGGTGTGATGAAAAGGTGAGAAGTTCTAGGAACTCAGGGAGCTCTGGTGGCTTAGTGGTAAGGAGTTGCCTAGTTATCCCAAAGGCATCAAGTTCAAATCCACCAGACACTTTAAGGGAGTACATCCTACTATTTCCCCCTGTGTGATTTACTGTTGCTGAAAATTTGCTGGAGGGTCAGCTATGGGTCATTTTCAATTTGGCAGTGCATAACAACAGGAACTACAAGAGAGATGTGGCTAGGGCAAGACAGGAGTGTCATTAGATAAAATGGGGAGCTTTTAGAACACGTTAAATTTTTTTTTATTTGATACTAAGAACAAAAGACAGTCACAAAAAGACAAATACTGCATAACACCACTGTTATAAAACGGAACTGGCATGGGGGTTGGAGAGAAACTAAAAAAAAAATAGGGGACAAATAATGGACACTGCATTAGAACAAATAAAGAACTGTTTAAAAGGAATATATGATTAGGCATAGTTTGTATGACAAAAGTCCAGAATAAGAGGTGGACTGTGGGAGGGCTGGAAGGAAATTATGCAACAATGAATTCTTTTTTTTGTTGTTGTTGTTTTTTAAAGTGAACTGGGATGACAGATAGGAAAACGTGCAAAAATGAATGAATGAAGTTCTAATTCCCCTCACAGAACACCCAGGGAATTAGAACTGCCCACCTTTTAATTAGCAACCTGATATAGGATGTTAATCCTACAGAGCTGTTCCAATCTGTCCTACAGGGGGTCTATGAATTGTCAGTGGGTATCGTTTTGGTTTAAGATCAACCTTAGATATACTGAGAATATCAGCGTAGAACTCATGAGTTGACAGGGTGGGATGGGGGTGGGGGTGGGGAGGCACACAGGAAGTAAAGAGAAGGCACCAAAGAGTGATCTCTGAGGAACAACAATTTTAGGAGACAGACAGAAGAGAACAGAAGCCCATCAACAAATGAATGGATAGAGAAGCTGTGGTATATTCACACAATGGAATACTATGCTGCCATTGAAAAACAAGGAACTCATGCAATATTATTCAAAATGGTTGACTCTGGAGAACACTATGCTGAGTGAAATATCCCAGTCACAAATGGACAAATATTGTATGGTGCCACTGTTGTAGAATGGGACTGACCTTGGGGTTGAGGAGAGACTGAGTAAGATGGGTTCAATAATGTATATT